TCAAATGATTAACTCTGGGGGCTATATTTATCTAATAAGTGCAAGTTCCTTAAAGAAGTACAACAAAAGAGAAACTACATAGCTATAACGAAAATTAGTTAATTAGAATTATATAACAATATAAGTGTTATTACTCATTTTTAGATTCTTACACTATTATTACAGCTATGAAGTTTACCAAAGCGAAATTCTTATACTGATATTGTAGCTAAAGAATCTAACTATCAAATGTGAGATTCTTATATTACTATCACAGCCACAGAACTCAATTATTAATATAAAGTTCTTAAACTGCTATTAGAATCACAGTATCTGCTTACTAAACATAAGATTTTTGCACTACTATTGTAGCTGTAAAGCCTATTTACCACATAAGGTAGCTGTGCGTATAGTCAACGATTTTATAGTATAACTATATAAAAATAGATGTGACTATTAGTGCATCTATTTTTTATTCTATTAGATGTTCTAACATTATTTATGTTAGCATTTATGATAATAAAAGAATGTATAGATAGTGATACTAATGGATCATGTTTGTGTTATTGAAAGAAAATCTGAGTTGAAAAGGATATGCATAAGGCCTTCAGAGATTATCAAAATCTTCTAACATGAAAAAACAATACTATGTTAATTATTGTACGAACATTGGTCAGAGTCAATAAGAGCATCTTAATATTGTGATAACAAGTATACTCAAGCTCAAAAATTAGAAAAAATTTTTTCTTATTTCATATAATGAAAAATCGCATGTCTTTTAAATTGTATGACGAATCCGGATTTGAAATGAATAACTAGTAACACAAAATTATCAAAATATTTTAATAAAGCTATATTAAGTTAAATATAGCATATACCAATAAAAAGAGTCTGAATCGCTAAAAGAGAACTATAATCTATTTCCATTATTATTGCTCAATCAGATGACTTTATTGAAACAAAGATGAAGAATATATAGAAATTCTGCTTACTATCTCTCAGGATTTACTTTGACTAAGAAATATTCTATCACTACTAATACAGCAACAATGAACTAGCTTTCCCTCCTATCCAACTACCTACACCTTCCACAACTGCTATGGACCAACTATTCTTGATAACTCGAATTAACCATTATAATTAACACAAAGCAATTATACAATAGAGTTGCATAGTTGCGAAGAGAATCGGTTATACTATTAAGCAATGCTAGGTTTTTGTGCTGCTGATACAGCTATAGAGTTCAAAAATACTGTAAGAATAAAAAGGTTTTTGCACTGCCATTGCAGCCATGGAGCCTTTTACTAAAGCCTGGGTCTTTTCACTGTAATTACAACCGCTAAGCCTGAAACAACTTACTGAAAAACTTATTCAGTCAAAGGGGTATTACCCTTAAAATAGGAAGAAAGGGTGGGACAAAAAAGCCAGCCTTCTACAAGGCGAGTGATAGCGAAAAGAAAGATAACCCTCCTTAAACAAGAACTGACATTTAAATACCTGCTGCTAGCCATAAAACCTTCCTCTTTCAACCTCTTATCATACATACAAAACACAAGAAATTCCTTCCTACTCTCTGTTACCTGTTTGCTACCTCTCATTACAACTCACAACATCAAAACAATCATATGTTATTACAATACAAAAACTAGGCTTTCGTCTCCTGTAATCATACAAAGGCGCAAATACTACTTTTTACTTTTATTATCTGATACAACTCATGACAATGAACATTTATATGCAATTATGATAAAAACCTGAATTACTTGCATCTAACAGGATCTGAAATTTATTTTAATTCAGCCAAAAAAGGCTAAAATGATACAAATGGCATATGACCTATAAGTTATCTGATTTCACAATAATGATCGCTCATTACCTCATTGACATGCTTCTTATAACAAGAATGTAGATCTTATCATCCAATTACTACACCCAAGATTTTGCAGGTGAATGCAAAACTCGTATGCCCTACATTCCTAGTATTATAATTCAGAATTACTAATTTAAGAATATAAATTATTGTACTTTTTTATATATTTTATATAAAATCAAAACAATCAACCAGAATCAAAATTTTGTGGATAAATGCAAAACTCAAATGTAAACCATACTCTATAACTTTTGACTACGTTTCTGGTATACAAGGCTTTTATACTGCTATTGCAGCCTCAGAGCCTAATTACCAAATATAAGGTTTTTGAGCTACTATTGTAGTCACAAAACCTAAAATATTATATAAAATCTTTGCAATTATGAAGCCTAATCATCAAACATAATATCCTTATACTACTATTGCCTAATAACAATATAGAATCCTTGTACTACCAGTACGATTTTAATAAAAAAGATGGTTAAGACCATCATTTTTTATTGTAATAGTGATCTTACTTGGTCAGCAAAATTTGGCTCTGATCTATTAATTTAAATACTTATCATTATGAGCACTCTAAGAACTATATACAAATATCCATAAAGATTAGTCAATAAAGTCATTTGGTTTGCTTTTCAGAATTAGTCAGTGACCTTTCAAAGTGCTAGTGATATAATTCTATATATTATTATAATTAATAATATGAGTGCTACCAAGAGAAAAACTGTCATCAGATATTCAATTATATTTTGTATACAGTTAGCTGTTATAGAAAATCTATCATAATGATAATGATAGATTTTCTACAGATAGCTAACTGTACACAAAATATAATTGAATGCCTGATAACTAGTTTTTCCTTAGCAGCACTCATATAGTATATTTGATTAGTGAATATTGTGATATTTGTTATATTATTAGTACTTTAAAAGGGTTGTTCTAACTAATTTATTTTATTAATAGGCCTTTAATGAAATAATTATTATTATTAAAATTCTAATTAATTAGATTTTAGAAGATAATAATCAAGCATTAATACCAGAATTAAGAAGTTTAGTACAAAATCATCAATTTTGGGCAAATGCAGAAGCTTTAGCAAAAATATTATTACCTGCTAAAAATGCTGTCAAGATGGTTGAATCAAAA